AATTTAAAAGTACATGGACTTTGAAATCCTATTGATCATTTCACAGATTCTACAGAATCCCAAAATAAACCATTCTGTCTCTTCTAAGAACTCCAAGAGGATATTGATGATAAGTTGAATCTTTTATTATGGTCACAGATCAGAATGAAAATTAGAACATTCAAATAGAACAAGACGTAATAGTGTATTACAATTAATGTGATATCACTGATGGGTGGCCAAAGTGTCCCTAGTTTTACACAGTATAGTAGAATTTAGATATGTTCAAAGAAATTGTGTCATACCAATCTCATAGTAACAGCTGTATATAAAGAAGATCAGAATTTCCTGAATATTTTGCCAGATGAGGAGTTATGAGTCTGTGAATCCTTATAGAGGACATGAGCTGTGGTTTCAATGGACTCTTGTCCTGATCACCTGATGCTGATGATGAGCTAGGCCTTTTGTTAGCTGTTATTAGAGGGAAAAGGAGCTGAAGAAAAGAAGAGATAGTTGCAAAGTACATCTTTATGAAAGAGAGAGCCAAGTCATGCTGTTTCACCTCATTGAAGTAGAGAATGATGTCTTTACAAAGATCTCTTACCCAAATGGTTCCTTTTTTCCATACTAGGTTTTGACCTTCTACTTGAATCAAGACATTATACTGCCCATCTATTTTTCTCAGCCGATCAACACTATCAGAAACATCACTTTATTCTTTGGATATCCATCATGCTCTCCTATTTATTTATTTTTACTTGAATTCTACACCATTTCACTGAGACTAACATTTATTCCAGGCCTTTCAAAGCACATCAAAAGAACAGTCTTTTCCTCTCAGTATTTCTGCAAATGGATATTGACAACAATTAAATTTTGATATGAATTGGTTGAGCAGCCATCCTCTCTTCCATCTATACTCTGCTGCACAAAAGGAAAAGTGGCATCAGAAGCCTTTATCTGATGTATTCTCCTGGTGTGTCCCTACCAGAGTTGTGCTGGGTAGCCATGTGGACTCATGCTTCCATTTTCATCTAGCACTATCAATTTGGCCTTTAGTCCCAGAAAGATACAAGCTTGAACTTCTTTTTAATCAGGTTATTTATGCTAAGACATGTCAATTGGTTAATTCTCTAACTGCAGCTGTTTAAATTGGTCACCTGTGACTTCAACTTATCTTTTAATCCCACTTGGTCTCAGATCCAGTATGTCAGCATTGCTAATTGAAGAGATTTGGCAAGTTTTGACCAGCCATAGACAGGAAAATCTGTAAATTCTGGAAGATTTCAAATGTAGTCATGTAACTTATGTGTAAATTCAGATTACTCAGAAAACCATATTTGCAGTAAATAACCTGTTTATCTGGTCTGCAGCAGTGATACTGAAATGTATTACCTCTCCTAGGACTTGTGCTCAGGATCACCACACCCATCAGGAAAATAATTGAATAAATGTATCGGATACTCTGAATTATTCTAGCATTATTCTCCAGCTTAATATGCAGATACTGGTTTGCTTCAACAAGCAATGACATTTCTCTGTGAAATATCTCATCACTCAACGAGTGATCTTGTTTAGCAGAAATTCATCTAAGTATCACCAGTCATGAATGTTGGACTTAAAACACCAGAATCAGAAGGCTTATATGACATCCTTTCTTTGAAAAAGGGTAAAAAAATAATTTTTGCTTAAACTGGAAGTTGCAGTGAAAGGTTTGGAAATATATCAGAAACACTGGCCAAAATCTCAGGCTGAGCAGTTTCAGTGCCTTGCACAACATTTTGGACTCTCCCCACCTTCCCCTTCTCTTTATCTATTTTCTCATTTCTCACTGTGGACAATCCAAGCAACAGGATAGGGCCTTTTATTCCAGTCATTCAATTAAGGAAGCATTTGACATGGAGTCCTTCTCATTGAAGATTAGCAAGCAATACACAGGTTGTTAACTATTTAAACTGTGTTTGCACAGCACATAAGGCTTATAATTGAGACCCGTGCAAACATACCCTTAAATTCTAGCATTTAAATCTCACCATAAAGTCTTCGGATGATTTATTGGGCCATCCCAGGCCACAATTCTGAATCCATGCAATGTCCATCTTCTCCTGGTCCTAACTGTGTTCTACTTTCATTTTCCCAAATTATCAAGCATATTTGAAGCTAGCATCACAACTAGCCTGATCCTTCTCCAGAAGCCCAAGAGCTAGCCTTACAACTGTGCCACACATTCTAGAATTAACCTCCTCTATGTTCTGCTCCTTTGTGGTTTCTATGGATACAACTATACATAGCTATACCGAATCAAGTTGGGTCTTAAGTAGGAAGAGATTCGCTCATGCTCTGTGAATACTGGTCAGGACTACCATTGTGGGAGATTCATACAGCCAGATTCTCGATTGCACCAGGTAAGTAAAGCCTACCTACCTAAAAATAATCTTAAGTGCAAAAACTGTATTTACAGATTTTTCAGGCTTCCCCTACCCCCGACCCACCAGCAGCTCTTCAAGAAAATGTGGAAACAATTTGCCCCACGTTGGATAACGATATGGATGGCTAAGTTTTCTTCTACTGAAGATAACTGCAGGAAGTCCCTGTCCACTTACAAATAGTTATGGCTATCTTGGCTGCCTTTGCCACTTCTTAAAAGCTTTTTTGTGGATGTTTGTTACACCTAGAAGGAAACAGAGCATCAAATGCTCAAATGAGGTCTTTGTATCACCCATCCTTCTACAGATTTAACAAGGCCTGAAAAGGGGGAGGGGGGAACCAGAGCTCCTGACAAGGCAATCAACTACTGTGCATGATCAAACATATTTCTCAATCATACTATCCTTCTGCCTTAAATTGAATGTTTACTGGACTTTTGTGAGGTTGCTTTGTAGCTTGGGGGGCAAGCAGGTAGGTAGGTAGTCTGCACATCTGGACTGTGGATGTACATGGAATCAAATTTCATATCTGCTCTGACATCCAGAAGGGGGAGTCTTGTAGAGATCAGAACAGTTAGCTACAAGAGGCAAGGATTCATGAAGGTCATCAGAATAATCCCCAGCAACCACTAGTCAAAAACAGGCTGACTGGACCAGATCGGACAGTGCAAACCCTATGACCAAAATGAGACAGTCAGGCCCTAGCCTGCAAAATGGGTGCACCCCAATTTGGACTCATTACACTAGATTTTGAGGGGGTAGGTTCCAAAGGGGTTCAGGACCATAACCCAAAGTGAACTTAAATAGGACAGTATTGGGAATATGTAAGGCTTAAGGCACCTATTTTGTTCACACACCCTAATTCTCTCCAAAAAAAAACCCCCAACTGTCTGGGCCTCTCCCACTCAGGGGACTGCAAGTAGGGCACATATAGTCCACAGGCTGCACATTTTCCACCTTTGTCCTCTGTACACTCAAAACCAGGAAACCAGCAATGAGCATTCTCCCATACCAGCCATCTAATCAATGCCCAGCTCCAACCAACCAACCAAACATACATAAAAGACAAGATGGGTAGAAAAGAAACTCAAGCTCAAGAATCATTGTTTTCTTAGCCTGTAAGAAATGTTTCCATTTGTCTTCCATAGAAAGTAAAAGTTAGATATCCTGTTAGAACAATGTGCAAATTGTTCTATTCTGGGGACTGAAAGGGAAAAAAAGGGGGGAGTCCAGCTTCCGCATATGCTGTTATTAGCGTATGTGGCAGAGCAATAGCCGTTTAGTAAGAAAAAGAATGTGCTTCCTGAATTATTCTGAAGCTGCCCTTGTGTTTGTCCAGTGTTCATGGGGCTAGGTAGTTGTACCTTAATTGATTCTATCTTATTTGATTCTATCAAGGTAACATATCAATCCTTATTCATTTCTCCAAGTCACACCATTTGCATCATCTGTTTTTTAGCATAGAAATCCTCAGTGCTTTCAACCTCTTCTGAGTCACAAATAGTCAAAGAATATTTAAAGAAGAAAATTCTTACAGAGGATTTGATTATGGGGCTGTATATAATTTCCAATCCTGAAAACAGAACTTGCAACTACCTTAGTGTAGAAATATACCCTTTGGAATGAATAGAGATATTTACAACTTTCTGTAATCATTTAGGAAGGAAATTACTCTGGATTTAAAATGAGATTAATGCATTCCCTCCCACACAAACATAAAAATATTAGCAGCTCCTTCATTCTATAACCGAAAACTAGCCTTGCTTCACAAATCAAAGAAAGCTCCATTATTTTCTTCCAATATTTATTTATCTTGCTGATTCCTTTATCGCCCCCCTCCCCCAGCACTGCCTCCATTGCCCCCTCCTTGCCCCCCTGCATCAGGAGCGCCAGACATCATAAGGAAAAGCACGATAGGAATAATGTACATCCACTGTAGGAGAGAAAGAAATATATACATGTTATATTAAATATAATATTAAAAACATATAGTTTCATGATGTGTTAATAACCCATCTCATTCTTTTCCATCTTGGAAGTGATCATGGCTTCTCATAAACCCCAATCTTCCCCCTTAACGGTACTTTTCCAAAGACTAGCTTGGTACCAGTTTCTATTTTTGCTCTCATCCCTCCTTGCATCCTGTCGCTGCCCCTCCTTCAAATCCCAAACACAAGAAACCCTTCACCAGATTTACAGCTGAGTTTATCAGTGTGCAGCCAGTGAGGAAGGAAAGTCTGTGTCTACTGTAAAGGAGAAAGGACCTGCCACCAAAAAGGGGTGTCTAAATCCTTATCCTATCAGGAAATAAAGATCCAGAGAGTAGCAAACTGAACATTAAGAAACATGCCCTGAAAGGCATCCTTGCTTACTTTGAATGTTCTCAGCCAATTACCACCAGAGGAGGTCGAGTCCAAGCTATCACAGAGCAAGTAATCGCTAAAGTAACTTCAAGAAAGCCAGCTATTGAGCAACATAGCTTTTGGGGGTTATGGTTATTCTCAGAATGCACTGAGTAAAAAAAAATGATAAATGCTACCCTCTGGACCAGTGAACACAAAGGTAGCACCCGGGTGAGGCTTATATATATACACACACACACCTCCCCAATATAAAAACTGGCTCCAAAAGAAGAGTAGCCTTTTTGTTCTCCAAGGTGACAAGGTGACAAGAGTTCAAGTTAAATGGAGCCAAGCAAAGAGAGAAGTGAGTTGAACTGGGTGCAGGATTACTTTTGCTCAGGGCCGTCGTCTGAACTTCGTGGGGAATGTTGCATAGATGGTCACTGGGAGAAGCACTATTGCACCCAGAATTAAATGCCACTGCAGGGATTGGGGATAAGAAATATCAGAGCAGGAAGCAGTCACTTCTCAGCAACAGTTGCCTGGCTAGAGCCAGAAATAAGACAGCAGGCAGGCTGAGGAACTAAGAACATTGCGCTGCAAGGGTGGAAAAAAAGAACGGAACCTGCTCTTTCTACCATCCCTCCCCCATTCCCCCAAATACAACACTTACATATTTGGCAAAGAAAGACTTCTGCTCCTGTGGATTTTTGGCTTTCTGAGCCTGCTCTTGTTCCAAGCGTTCAATAAATGCTGCTGTTTCAGGGCTGGCAGCAGAAAGAAAGAAAAAAGCTATTAGTAACCAAACTAGAAAGCATCCCCCAGTACTCACGAGGGCTGCAGAAGCCCAGACAGGTATTAAAAAAGTAAACGGAATGTTTGGGGCCCAATGTATTTCAACAGTGTTTCCCATGTGAAAAAGCATTAACACCACACACCAGGGGTTCTGCTGTTTCTTTCATTAGAACTAATCAATGAAATAATACTTGGCTTCCAAAGTAAGATAAACTGAAATTCACTGGAATTCACTAGTTCTGGAATGTTTGAAACTCTGCTCCCTTCCTTCCCCTAACTGGATAAATGATTCTGCCCTCTCTTCTTCCTGCTCTCAAAATTTCCACCTACTGTTCAAAAAAAGATGGACTGGCAAATATCTCTGATGGTCAGTGCAATACTAAACCTGTATAGAAATAAACAAGTTTAACTGACTTCAACAAAACATGTTTTCCAATTTGCATGTTTAAAATCAGAGACAAGTCTCTAGATTCAGCCTTCTCTGCAAATAAATTACCTAGAAATCCTTCTGCCAATCTGTCCAGATGAGACCCTTGCCTTTTAGCCAATCTCCTTCACCCCATTTTGATGAAGAAATTTGGTTGCTTTCCTTATATTCCAATTGAGGAACCCTTCTGCTTCCAAAAAAATCTTCCATAATCTAACTTTAGATTCCTTATACAAGGTACTCAGATTATCTGACCTTCTAGTTAGAAACCATTTTATCCATCTTTTAAATTCTCAAAAGTGTATCTGGAATTAAATGCAGAAAACCAAGTCAAACTTCCTATGTCCCCAGTGAGCAATCATGAGCCTTTGGAAAATCCAAACAGATCATACCTTGTCCCAAATAAAAGCTATTTAGTAGCGTATCTCCCTTCCAAAATCCCTGGTGATTCCATTCATGATTAAAAGCCACAATACACTTATATTTTATACATTTGCCCAATCTCACTTTAAACTAGCTGTTGTTAATATGTCTTGTAGCAGTGAGTTCCACAGATCAGCAGAAGCCCTGCATTCTCATCTGATTAGTCAAAAAATACTAACACAGCTGCTGGTATGGGCTGCTGGAGCAGAATGGTGGTATTGAAGAGTTCCAGATCCACATCTTCCACTTCAGCTCCGTGGCAAGAGCTAGGCATAGTGACAGCAGAGAGGCCAATTATGTTGCCAGCGATGTCAGTGTGCACTGTCAGCCTATCGGACAGATGAGACTCGACCAATGAGCACTGCAAGGAAAGGAAGATACATCAATACTGTCTCTCTGCCTGTCTTAGCATTTCCAATTTGGTTTACATAAGCCGGTGTGCGTGCTAGTGCAAAAGCTCGGTCCTCTGAAGTAGCAAGGAAGTTACTGGGATAGAGGATGAATGGGGCCACAAGCACTTCAGGGGTGACTCTCGAACATGGTCTTCCTACTTTCCACCTCAGCCTGTGGTTCAGTAACAGCACATGGCATCTCCAGCAAAAAGTATCCCAGACAGCAGCTTTTCAAGAAAATAGTTTAATCTCAGAATTTTGCAGTGCTGCTTTCCCTCTCAGGAGGCACCAGAATATGAATAAGAATATGAAGCTTATTTTTATATTTATATCTTGATATTCCTTTAAGCAAACCTCATTTGTGCAAACCTGCATAATACTGGCTTCCTATCAATCAGCACATAGTTTATCTTAGCTGGCAAAAAAAAAAAGATCTAGAAGAGAAATCTCTAGGGACTACTGGGAAGGAAAAAAAATCTCAGAAGGCAATGGCATACTATTTCTGCATTGTCGCCAAGTAAAGCTGCATGATTTTGCCAATGTATCCTCAGAAATTAAGCTAAGGTCAATTGGGGGTCAATTATTCTATTATCTCTTCCCTCAATAATCTCAGAACAGCCTCAGGATTAGGAAGATCTCCTGATTAGACTACTTAAGGCAGGAAAAAAATTCAACATCATGAACCTAAGACCATGTTGCTTCACTTACTCCTCAACAAACCAAGGAAGAAAAAGCAGTTTCCATCTTCCTACTTTTGGAGATGTCACATCTGGATATTTTTCTAAAGAGGCAAGATCGGCCAACAAGAGTGTGTAGGAGTCAGATTTTTTTAGCTACCTTCACGCTAGTAATGTGCAAGTGTCTCAGTAAGATATTGCTATAACATGTTGCAAAGGTACTTTTAAGATAATATGGGTCCAGAATATGTTCTCAGCATATTTAGGGCTTGGCACATTCTATGATGAGGCACTTACTGTAGGCAGGTGTCCTATACGGTACAAGAATTCCAGAGCAGTGAAGACACTTACCGCTTTAACAAAAGTGGTGACATATTCCACAGCACTCTCTTCAATGCTCCCCAGAGGCTGTCGTGGGATTCTTAAACGGTACAGTCCACCCACAGAAGCTATCTCCTGAGTTTGTGAAAAAAGAGGATACAGTAACTGAAAGGAGAAACTCACTACCTCATCTTATTTGAAGGAGATAAAAATTACATCTAATGATCTCAAACTACATTGAGTATTTATTTTTACTTGCATTCTTTAGAGAACCAATTAATCTTAATTTTAAAAATTTCACAGGTTGCCAAAATTCTAGGCTTCAGAGACTAATTACGATAGAAAACATCCAAGCATTCACAGCATCCTGAATGGGATGCATGGAACTTCAGGGTTAAATCTATTTTTATATATATTTATTCTTTAAAAGCAGGGGAAGCCGCTTACAAAACAAGATTTCTGGAATTGAAATTTTTTAAAACTATTTTGATACCTAGCACCCATAAAGTTTGTAAACTCCTAAGCTTACATCAGATTTTCCTAGTCAACAGCTTTTTCCCTATCTGCCTAAGGCCCCTTAGACTTCCATGCAGGAAAGCAATCAAACACAGGATCCCTACATTCCACTTTCTCTTCCAAAGTGCCTCTGTTCCAATTTGTTTCTCCCTAAAAAGCAAAGCAAAACTGCTCTCCCACTCACCCTAAGTTTGTTGCGCTCTTCTTCAGTTAACTGCTTCTGGCTCAGTGAGAGACTAGGTTCAGGGCCCACATTCCACAGGAGTGTACCCCGTTTTTTGAAATGAATGCTGTCATCTTCAGGAGAAAGAAACACATGTTAGTCTCACAGTCTTATTCTTACTCCTGTTAGATAAATGACCTTTAGCCACTTACAACATACAGGAGCGAGTGCGTCTCCAAAGTCCTCCCCTATTTTTAGACTGCTGCCAATGCAATTCTTTTCCTGTTTAGCACATGCAGAATGTATTAATACAATAAGGACAGAAGTGAGCATCCCATGGGCCCCACCCTGCCCCAAGGATGAGCTTTTTTTTGTTGCCTATTAATAATCACACACAAAGTTAAACTTCAACTTGAACTTGCACATGAATGTGTAAATTTTGAAGGGATCTATTTTGCATCTTAAAGCCATTCTAAGAAGGAAAATCCAGGATCTATTTTCCAAGTTTCACAGGATTTTAGCATCTGACTTAATCCTTCCCAATGTAGGCTAAAAATTACAACCTTCAGTTCAGGAGTAATTTGAAGGTAGTAAACCAGGCCTACGAGAGGAGCTTACTATTCAAAGACTGTCTACCTCTGCATATTTGCAATGGAAAATTCTATTGTCCCAAGGTTCCCAACAGAACAATGTCTTAATGTATTTGTATGCACAAAGGTCCTATGTAAAGTGGAAACTAACCTGACTATGAAATGGGCCTAATTAATGCTGCTTAATCTAGACAAATTGTCCAATTCAAGTCTGCCATGCTCAGTATATACACTCACCCAACTCAAATGAATGCTCCAGCTGCAGATTCAATCCACAAGTTTCAGAATCTCGGGCTTCACTAGACTGAAAGCAACAGTAGATCATGAATGTTGCAAAGTTCCTATACAACAGTGTTTCTCAACCTTGACAATTTTAAGGCATGTGGACTTCAACTCCCAGAATTCCACAGCCAGCAATGCTGGCTGTGGAATTCTGGGAGTTGAAGTCCACATGCCTTAACATTGTCAAGGTTGAAAAACACTGCTATACAATAAGGAAAAAAATTATTTGATCCCTGGCTGATTTTGTATGTTTGTCCACTGACAAAGAAATGATCAGTCTATAATTGTAATGGTAGGTTTATTTTAATAGTGAGAGAATAACAACAAAAAAATCCAGAAAAACGCATTTCAAAAAAGTTATAAATTGATTTGCATTTTAATGAGTGAAATAAGTATTTGACCCCTTTGCAAAACATGATTTAGTACTTGGTGGCAAAACCCTCACTGGCAATCACAGAGGTCAGACATTTCTTGCAGTTGGCCACCAGGCCAACACACAACTCAGGTGGGATTTTATCCCACTCCTCTTTGCAGATCCTCTCCAAGTCATTAAGGTTTTGAGGCTGATGTTTAACCTTCAGCTCCCTCCACAGATTTCCTATGGGATTAAGGTCTGGAGACTGCCTAGGTCACTTCAGGAAATTAATGTGCTTCTCCTTGAGCCATTCCTTTGTTGCCTTAGCTGTCTGTTTTGGGTCATTGTCATGCTGAAATACCCATCCACGACCCATTTTCAATGCCCTGGCTAAGGGAAGGAGCTTCTCATCCAAGATTTGATGGTACATGGCCTGTCTATCATCCCTTTGATGCATGAAGTTGTCCTGTCTCCTTAGCAGAAAAACACCCCCAAAGCATAATGTTTCCACCTCCATGTTTTACAGTGGGGACGGTATTCTTGGGGTCACAGGCAGCATTCCTCCTCCTCCTACATGGTGAGTTGAGTTGATGCCAAAGAGCTCGATTTTGGTCTCATCTGACTACAACGCTTTCACCCAGTTCTCTGAATCATTCAGATAGTCACTGACAAACTTCAGATGGGCCTGTACATGTGCTTTCTTGAGCAGGGAAACCTTGCGGGTGCTGCAGGATTTCAGTCCTTCATGGCGTAGTGTGTTACTAATTGTTTTCTTGGTGACTATGGTCCCAGCTGCCTTGAGATCATTGACAAGATCCTCCCGTGTAGTTCTGGGCTGATTCCTCACCATTCTCATGATCAGTGAAACTCCATGAGGTGAGATCTTGCATGGAAATTGACCGTTATTTTGTGTTTCTTCCATCTGCAAATAATCACACCCAACTGTCGACACCTTCTCACCAACTGCTTGGCGAATCTTGTAGCCCATTCCAATCTTGTGTAGGTCTACAATCTTATCCCTGACATCCTTGGAAAGTTCTTCGGTCTTGGCCATGGTGGAGAGTTTGGAATCTGATTGTTTCTGTGGACAGGTGTCTTTTATAAAGGTAACAAGCTGAGATTATGAGCATTCCCTTTAAGAGAGTGCTCCTAATCTCAGCTCACTACCTGTATAAAAGACACCTGGGAGCCAGAAATCTTACTGATTGATAGGGGATGAAATATTTATTTCACTCATTAAAATGCAAATCAATTTATAACTTTTTTGAAATGTTTTTTTTTTCTGGATTTTGTTGTTGTTATTCTATCTCTCACTGTTAAAATGAACCTGTCATTACAATTATAGACTGATCATTTCCTTATCAGTGGGCAAATGTACAAAATCAGCAGGGGATCAAATACTTTTCCCCCTCACTAATTTGTTTCAAGCTTCACAGTGCTCCAAATTCTGTCTTATGTGTACCAATGTTGCATGCCACATAATAGCAAAACCTTTCTGTCCATAATTTAAAACAATATTTTGAATGATTGTATTGGCCCACCTGTGAAAAGAGACCGACAAAACTATGATGCATTCCAGTCTATGATATTTTATGGAACAAGCTTTCATAATCAAAACCTATATAATCATATAAGATAACTTAGATGGGCAAAATTAGAAATAACTCAAATTCACCACATGTTCTTTTGACTGAATTTTTACATAAAATATCTTCCAGTATTTTGGGAAGCTCCTGTTATCCAAACCTGTGAGACTGTTGCAAGAAGGTAAGGAAATAATGCATTTGTAAGAAAGACATAGTTTTTCAAGCAGTTAAGGAAGTTTCCAGTTCCTCTGGTGAATTAACTGACAAATTCTCCTGCTGAAATCCTGGAGAGTTGTTTCAGATTAGTGAATATAACTCTGAGTTATATATTATGTGCCATCAAGTTCTTTTTTATTCCTAGCAACCACATAGATATTTTCTAAAATGGATCCCCAACTCCCAGTCCTTACCTGTCCGTGGCCAATTAGGAACCGGGCCACACAACTGGAGGTGAGTAGTAGGTGAGTGAGCAAAACCAAAACTATTTTCCTTGCCCTCCGACCCGTGGAAAAATTGTCTTCCATGAAACCGGTCTCTGGTGCCAAAAAAGGTTGGGGACCACTGCTCTGTGATGCTCTATCCCTAGCCTGGTCTTTCACATCTGCTGAGCTGGATATACTGTATCAGCGATAATTTAGAATAAGGCAGCTAACCATCAACTTTTAAATCCCAGTGAGGCTTAATGATTAAAATGTTTTGAGAAATACCATAGGGACTCAGGATTCAATCCATTCATAGTTATGATTTGGGGCTAGTCCTTCTCTCTCAGTTCAACCTGGCCTCACAGGATGGTTGTTGTAGGGATAAAATGAAGGAGATTCCCCACGTAATCCATCTTGAGCTCCCAAAAAACAGCCATTTTACGTACAATTAATAAGCATATTCAATATTTTATGCCAAGATGGCACTTAGGTCCAAACCTCTTTCATTAACTCTTACACAATTGCTAAGCTGCTTCCTTCCCTAAATCAGAATACAGTATACTTGATGCACTGTAATTTAGTCCTAAAGTTATTATTCAGCTTATGAATATTAATGGCAGAGATCATGAAGCTGCATCTCTTATTAAAAGAAAATACAGCCACAAAGAACGATTCATGAAGAACATATATACATTTTTCACCTCTTATAACTCCAGACCCCAATCCATTTAATGAAGTTGCATGTTAGGAGATTTAAGACAGGCACCAAGTTAAACTAGTTAAACTATGGGACATACTGCCACAAGATGCAAAGCGAGCCACCAGCTGAAATAGTGCTGGTGGAGGGAAAAACTATCTGCAACCATTAATTGTGGTTAAATGAAGCATCCAGACTCAGAAGCAGCACTCCAATGAAGGGGTTTTTTTTGTATTTGTTTTTTACAATTCTTTAGGCATCTATGAAAACACACCTCTGCACTACTTTGGCGTTCGGTCCAGTTTAGCTCAGCTTACGCCCTGGATATTAAGGAGCTTGTCTTTCGACAAGCAAAGTCATCTCCGCATTCAGCCATATTATAGTGAGGCTTACCTTGGCAACTGCCTCTCCCCGACAGGCTGCAGAGGCCCTGACAAAAACCTGCGGCGGGGGGGAAAGAAGGAGGGCGAGGACAGACAGGAGACAGACGCAGAGCGGTCGTTCAGCAGCCGCCATAGCTCCCTCCATGGATCACGTGATCTAACAAACAGGCAGCGCAAGCGCAAAGCACTCTGGGACCGAAGTACAGCGTTCAAGGGCCGAAAGAAAGCCAATCACAGGCGTCTTGCGGCTTATCGCCTCTCTTAAGTACTCAATTTCCTCTCGCGCCGCACGTGGCGGTGGCTTGTCTTGCAACTGCAAGAGCTGAGAGGAAATGGGTGCCGATGACATAGAGAGCCGACTCGAGTGATGGGGAAGAAACTGTACACTCTTGGGAAAATCGGTCCCATCGAGCTCAGTGAGACATGGTTCCGAATGAATTTGCTTGCTCCTCATCCTTTAAACTCTTGCAGAACGGTTGGCCATTGTCTCCTCTATTTTTGACGGCGATGAAAGGATGAAATAACCTGCAGTTTTCTAGACATAAGTCAAAAAAAGGGAAGATTGTCGTGGATTTGTATGACCTATCATCCTTAACATAATAGATGCCACAACTGTTGCAAAAAGAAGTGGAATATATTGGATGCCCCCAAATAGAACATCAGTTGTATCAAAAGATGGGGACGGAGCGAACTATCTCTGCTTTTCTATCCTCATTTTTCTCTAGCTATACTAGGATCTCCTGCTGTGCTCCCTTACTTAGTAAATTGTACTGTTTGCAATCCTGTGTGTTTGCAAGAAAAAACAACAGTTCCCTATCCCATTTTTATTCACAAGCAATGGTGGCAGCTGCTCTTTGGTTTAATATATCATCACTAAACTCTGAGTCTGGTTATGCTAAAATATTGTAGATTGGTTGAAAGTCTCCATTTTCAGTTTAGCAAGAATCCAAAGTTTTAACTTGATATAAGAAATATTCAGATTGTGATTATTTATGATTCTGCTTTTCCAAGATTTGCAATTCATACAATCAATTAAGGATGTTTTTTTCTGTTCCCTTTTTGCAAGAGAACTCAAAAAATCAACATTTGTAGGGAATTGCTTCATTTAATTTTTTTTTTGCTTTGTTTTACTGTCATTGCTTCTCAGATATGACTGAAAGTCAAATTCAATTTTTCTTCCCCTAGTAAATGGAATTAATTACTTAATTGAGAGGTTGCTAAGTATTCAATCTTTTCCCCTAGGCTCTGCATTCAGGTTATTGTTTTCTGTTTCTTGTATTGACAAAACTGCATTGTAACATGAGGTTGAGGTAAATTTAAGAAACAAGTCAAAGTTATCCTGTTGTGACCTAGGTCAAGTCAAGCTATGGCTAAATTCAAACAACAACCTAAGATAAAATTAGGGGCCCTTGGTGCTTTCTGAGCTTGGTTGTTTTCTTTCTTTACCTAGAGCCCTGGTGACACAGTAGTTAGAATGCAGTATTGCAGGCTAATTCTGCCAACTGCCAGCACTTTGGCAGTTTGAGTCTCACTGGTTCAAGTTTGACCCAGCCTTCCATCCTTCCGAGGTTGGTAAAATTAGGACCCAGATTATTGGGGGCAATATGCTGACTCTGTAAACAACTTAGAGAGAGCTCTAAAGCATTGTGAAGCGGTATATAAGTCTAAGTGGTATTGCTAGTCTTGTAGATTAGGTAAAAGTAGTGGGGTTTGTGCTCAATTGGTATTGTGGTGGCTTGCCCTGTCAGTGTTGGCGGGAGTAGTCTTGGAGGTTCTTTGGTTGGGCCATTTACTGTTAGCTTATTTGTCAATTCCTTGATTGGGGTATTGTTTACTTCTTGATTGTTAGTCTGATGTTGATATTAATCTATGCTTATCAGGTAGTTGATTGCCGGTGGAGAGATATTTTGATGTTTTTGTTTCCTTTCTGGCTTGTTGATTGTCTCTTTTGCACAGTATGTAGATGTTGTTTATATCTATGTGTCTATTGGTGACCAATTTGTCAGCATTTGTCTAGTGTCTTTGGACTGCTCTACATTTAGGATGCTCCACAGTTTCCCAGTTAAAACCATGGTTAAATCTGTCTATATGTTGTGAAATTAAAGAGTTTTCATCATGTCTCCTAACTGCTAGTTGGTATTCATGGATGTGTGCTGCTAATCTTCTGCCTGTTTGTCCTATGTAGTGGCTATTGCAGTCTTCACACTGTATGCTGTAGATCAGGGCTTTTCAACCTTTTCACCCATTGTACCACTTTTAGGATATGGCAGTATCCGAGTACCACCAGTCGCCTAGCAAGGTGTCAAAAAAAAAAAGGAAAAAAGTGATGAAGTACAGGTAATCCTCGACTTACAACAGTTCGCTTAGTGACTGTTTGAAATTACAATAGCACTGAAAAAAGTGCCTCCCAAGCCACAGCCGAGCAAGACACCTGCCTGCCCGCCCGGTGGCGCTCTTCCTCCTGTCCGAGGTTTTCATTGTGAGCATTTCTGTTGAGGATTGGCAGCGGGGGTGGGGTGGTGGGTGTTTGATTTTTATCCCCCCCCCCCCCGGTCTGCTGGGTGGTTGCAGCAGATTTTGGTCACTTCACATAACCCTAGGACACTGTGACCGTCATAAATATGAATCAGTTGCCAAGCATCTGAATGTAAATCACAAGACCCTGGAGATGCTGCAACATTCCAGCTGATTGGTGCTTCTTCAGGGCTCAGCAGAAGTGCCAGGATCAGCGCCAAGCTCCAGCTGGAGCCTGGCGCTGATCCTGGCGCTTCCACTGAGCCCTGACAGTCCTGAAGGAGCGCCGATCCTGGCGCTTCCGCTGAGCCCTGCAGCTCCAGCCGTCTCTTGCTCAACCTTGTGTGGTGCTGCCACCGGTTCAGCTCATTCCTCTCCCCTGCTACCACTTTTCTAGGACACTCGCGTACCACCTGCCAGGTGCCAATGTACCACAGGTGGTACCCGTACCACTGGTTGAAAAGCCCTGCTGTAGTTTTTATTTCTGGGGCTGCTTAGTCTTTTGGTTTACCTAGGATGTTTTGGGATGGCTTTAGTTGATTTGTGTGCTTTGCTGATTCCATGTTCTTGTAATAATCTGTTGGTGGTTTGAGATGTTTTTGTCTGTTGGTGGTCTGAGATGTTTTTGTTGTATGGCAATGTTATCCTTTTTGTGGCTTATGTTGGTTGTGCTATATTAGGTTCAGTGGTCAGGCACTTTCTGATGCATAACAAGTGAACACTAAACAGCCCAATCAAAGAATCTCCAAGACCACTTCCACCAAGCCACTAGAATATAATTTGAGAGCAAACTCCAATTCTCACTAACACTGATGATGCAACCTAGTTTGGTTTTTTTCCTGCAGCCATTTCATTACCCAATCTCAGAGAGCACTAAGGATTCCTCATTTCAACTTTGAGCTACAAATATTCTGTCTTTTATTTTTGGTAAGATATAACCCAATAAAACACAATTTAAGTTACCACAATGTATGAATCTAGTCTCTTCGTCTATATAGGCTTTAGATGAACAACTTGTTGTCCTCAACCTAATTTAAAAATCATTATGTAAGAGATGACTTTCAGGTCTCTTGTAAGTTCTAACTCTAATCTATTAAAGAGGAAAAAGAATGAGAATGAAGAAATGGGAAATGTCTGGAAAATAACTTGTGTGCCTACTAATTGCTTGCTTTAGCCCCCTCACCATCAGCCCTCCAACAGATGATCCACAAGAGAGTGTGGCATTCATACAAAACAGTTGTCTGTTGCAATTGAGTCCAAACTTTTCAAGACTGGCTGACAATTGTTCTCTCCAACAATTGGAGAGAGCCCAACAATTGTTGTCAGATCTAACTTTTAAACAGAAGATGATAGGGATTGCATTGAGGAATTTCTAAATGCACACATGCTTTTCTTAGGACCAGCCCTTTTTTTAAGGGAAGTAAGATAGCTATCTTAGGTGGTGAATATTGGGAGAAGCAGGGACCAGAAATGAGGGGCTAGAGAACCAACCCATACATTTTAGAGAATCTTTGCTGTTGTCCTTGGGTGGAATGAAAGATACAGCCCTATTGCCAATACTGAAATACAGGAGCCCTCAATTTACGACTGTTACCACAGACCTACCTGGCAGATACTTACGACCCAGATTCAAAATTTTGGTGATTTCCCCCCTCCCCCACCTCTCCCCACAGACCTCACTTTGAGCATTTAGGCAACAGGGCTGCATTTAGGGCATTTACTTCCAGTTTTCTGCAAAGCCAACCCACAGCAAATCATACATTTGCTTAATAACCATGGCAAAAAAGAGTCTTAAAATTGGGTCAGTCACATGACTGGCCAACATAATGATTGTCATGAATTACAACAGTGATGGGCAGGGTCCATTACAGTCATAACTTAAGGAATAACTGTAAATTTCATTTGCTAATTTATTATACATGAAAAGGGTAATCATCTTGTTCTTCACTTCAAACAACAAAATATCTTAGGCTAGTCCTGGCTTTCCTAGCCGCTCTGCTTTCGTTTATTTAAAATAGAAATTTGCAATCCTTTTAGATAATTCCCTTAAATTTCCTCTTCATGTTCTCCCCACAGGGTCTTCATCACAGTAGCCTGGATCCTTCTGTGTCCTCCATATATCCAAGCTTTGAAATGGGAGACCTGCGGAGGTGCCTGGACAGCGGGGAATATGGCACTCTGAAAGATTGTCATCTGTATGAAAGCAATTTTTTACAGGTGAAGCAGAATGGGAAAGACATTAGAAAAATATCCCCTGGTATTTATTTCTGAAAATATGAACCCCAAGGCTTCCTCCGATGCTCTTATGAAATGAAAAAGGGCAAGTGTAGTCTTTTCTGTGAATACTGGAATCCTTGAGATTGTTTACTTGGTAACTGCTACATACTCTTTTCAACACCATGTACAGATTACCTTGATTTACATCCATTCAACCCTTCAAGTTATATACAGTACTGAAAAAAGTGACTTACAACTATTCCTCACACTTACAACCATGGCAGCATTCCCATGGATATATGATCAGAATTTTAGCACTTGGTAACCGGCATGTATGTACAACAGTTGCAGCATCCTGGGATCATGTGATATGCCATTTGTGATCTTTCCAGCCAGCTTCTGACAAGCAAAACCAATGGGAGAAACTGT